TATAATATATGCTTTTCGGTTTTTTTAAACCTAACTTCCGGTAAAAAAAAAAAAACCCTTTTTAACTCTTTTTTATATATATATATATCAGAATTAAAATAAAAAATTAGGTGGTTACCGATTGTGCCCACGATGAATATGCTGTCGTCTAATTTGAAATAGAGATCTATCTACATGTCTAACTTAAACTTAGAAAGTAGAAATTATAGGCGTGCTTTCATGATTTTTTTTTAAAAAGAATTTACGACATATCATTCGGTGTAACAAATTGTAGTAATGACTTCAGGAAAATCAAGGTTTGAGTTCTTTGCTGATCCAAAAGCTAAATTTAAACATGATTTCAAATCCACAAAGAAAGAGAAGTAATAAAAATAAAGATCAAATGAGCAGAAGAAGAGGAGTAGTGAGAGAAGGCGACTCATCAAACAAACATCGACGCGTGGGTATCCCATCTAAAGCCAGAAAAGATTCCAGAAAGAATATATACGTACTGCCTAAGTGTAACGCTTAACGATTTATATGATTGTTACTGTCCATTTCGCTTGGCATGATTCATAATAGTAAAGAGGAGGTAGTGGCAACGTTACCATAAGCAGAGCCTTAATTTGTTCTCGGGAAATTGATCTCCCGCTTTCTTGTTCTTTGAACCCCAAAAGGAAGTGCATGAAGTCCTTTCTTTAATCATCTTTAGCCCCTGATTCAGCTCTTGCACCGTCTTTTCCAATCCATTCATCTATGACAAAATCATAGATTTTCTCGATCCTTTGTGTTGCCTTCTTCATTTCCCCCTCTATTCCTTGTATATCAAATCTTGCAAGGGCTGGAAAGAAGTCTGAAACATTTGGTTTTCCCAGTATCTCAATGAGTTCCGAGGCTGCCGCTCTAAACTTGGAGCCAATATCAATCTGTGTGTCCCCTTCTAAAGTACCGCCCCAAAACATGCCTGATATCATATTGATCACCGTCGAAAATGCCAATTCCCCGATATTTACAGGTTTGCCAATTTTTCTGTACGTTTCATTAACACTCTCCTTCACCTTCTTTCTCCTCAGAGAATAAAACGCATCAAGATTTGCATTGCTTTGCATCTCCCGCACGAATAGTTTACGCAGCATGCGCCACTCGGGACCATATGGTTGAAATGCAATATCCTTTCCACCGTATGAGAAAGTTTTTGCTGCAATAGTTGGATTTCTATTGGCAAATGTTATGTCTTGGTCACGTACAACCTCTTTCACCAGTGTTGGAGAGCTTATTATGACACATAACTTCCGTCCGATTGATAGCTTATAGATTGGACCGTAAGTTAGTGCCAATTCCATGAACAATTGGTGAAGATTGGGGCCTAAAAAAGGGAGGTAGCCCACTATGGGAAGGCCACGGGGTCCTGGTGGCAGCTTATCAGCAGTTTCTCTTTGCTTCTTGAATCCCCACTGGAATAAACAGGTACCCAGTATAGTAACAGAAACAGCCAGCAATATCATCGGCAAAAGTATGTCTTCATTATCTTGATCACCTTTACAAAACCAAGACCACGGGCCACAAATGGTGCTCGACAACATGTTATCTGTATTCGTAGCCATTAGAAATTAAAGGATGTTGACGGGAGGATAAGACGGAGATGAACTCGGCTTGAACTGTATCAGGACCAGCCTCTCGCCCTTTAGAAAACGAAGGCGATCATTTGTTTTTTGGTTATCTTCTGTAAGCAAATAAAGGAATTCATTTGAGAACTCGACAAGTCGATAAGGCTATATATCGTGTGGTCTCTTTTAGACTAAATTTTATAGAAAACCATGTGATGATATTATAAAAATATCCAAGTATTAATTTTTTAGTTTTGATAATTTGATCTATATTTCTTTTTCTTTTTTTTTTTATTTACGTGGGGTATCCAGGCCAACTTACGCCCACTTCGACTAATCTCCACGGCCTACTGAATACCCTGCAAACCTAGTAAGCATGTAAGGCACCGCGGGGGTGACAGACGTGCACGCCAGGGCTCGAACCCAGGTGCAGTGGAAGGGGCTTGTCTATATTTCTTAGTTATAGTTATTGTGGCCAGAGATTTTTTATTTAAAGATTTTCTAATAATTAAGTCGATAATTTTTTAAGAGAAAATATAATAATATTACAAAGAAAAACTCTAAAAATAAATATACAATAAAAAATAAGAATTCCAAATCTTTTATTTAAAGAACCGGTGGTTTATTTATAACTCATGCATGTATTTATGGAGAGGAGAAGGTAAAGTAAAATATTATCCTGATAATATTTAATAGGGTATTAATGTTGATGAAAAATATCTCTGACATATGTATTAATATGGATGGAAATATGATGGGTCCTGAAATAACTTTCACAAACTATCTTTTACATAATATTAATATTGATGAAAATATGATGGATTCTTAGAAGATTTTATACACCTAATGAGCATAAAGAAAATAGGATCTAAAATACAATTATGCTCAAATAAGGTAAGTTCTTCCATTGACTGAGCTCAAGAAAGGTGGAACCTTCCTTTGACTAAACTTAAGGGAGGTTGGATTTTATGGGCCCTTAAACTTGAATTTATTAGTAGTTTCTCACGTTTTTGTGATATTTATATACAAATACTTGTAAAAGTATTGAGTACAATGAGTTTGTCAATTTGTTTTTAAAAAAATTGAGGTGGAAACTGACACGACGAAAAGATTGTTGTCTTCTCCCAAGTGCAGGAGTGTCGAAGTAATAAATAACCCGGCAAGACCGGGGTCGAACCACAAGGAGGTTA